TATAAGTGTGTGCGTGTGTTGAGAATGGACGGAGAGTCTGCTGTATTTGCTGAGTGTCAAATTGTGTGTGTGCGCTGCTGCGTGGAGTTGTTATCTTGATGGTGAAGTTAATTAGTAACTTGGGAGCGTCGGGTATCTTGCGCTGTATTATTTGTGGGTTACCTTGTGTGATGGGCTTAATTGGAAAAAAATATATATATTTTTTTTGGTGTATTGTGCTGCGAGGTGCTGTGTGCGATGCGATTGTTGCAAGAGAGAGAATAATTGTGTTGTTGCTGCAAAGTTACGACAGGATTAATGGTGTGTTGGTTGCCTGCAGATCTGCTTGCTATTGTGCTTAAATGTGCGCGTGTGATCGCGATATGCTGATTGCATGTGCTGTTATACCGTTCTGTATGGTTATGGGGTGCGATGCAGTGGTTGATTATTGGAATTGGGATTGTTATTATATTGTGCGTACCTGTTGGAAATTGGTAACAAATTCGAGGGGGACCCAAATAATTGGTTGTATGGTTGTTGTGCACACGAGATTGCGTGTATATTATAGAGGGGGACCCTAAAATTCGGTTGTATTGGTGTTGTGCACACGAGATTTCGTGTATATTATGGGTAATTGCGCTTTTTGAGAGAGAGAGCGCGCTTTGAGGGTGCGTGATGACGCCGTTGTGGGTGTCTCAAAGGTTAATGCTAATGGGACCGTAAATTGGCGCCAAGTGGCGTCGCGTATTCGGTTGATCGCATGCAGCCACGAGTTGCTTGGCGAGTTGGGTTGTGTAACTAATGTGGTTGGTAAAATATTGGTTAAAAATTCCACGATATGACAGCTGTGCGCAGCAAGCTGGGGCTGTGCGTCTATCGTTGGTGGGGTTGTTATAATGTGACGGGAGATGCGTCTTGTGACCCCCAGCTAAGGGAAGCTGGGGTGCACGAATGGAGAAAACTGGCCACGTGTTCGCACGTTGGGCCGCCATTTTGCGCGCACGCGGGGTGTGGCGACGATGCGCTTTGCGGAAAGGGCCGCCATTTTGAGTGCGCGCGAGATATTGCGCGAACGCGCTGGGCGAAGGGGGACGCCATTTTGAGCGCGCGGGAAAAAACCGGGGTGGGGCAAATATTCCATCTGTTATGCCTGCCATTGTTGATTGGGTGATGCACGAGTTGTGGTCACATCGGGCTATGGCTGATGGCTGACCTGACAGCCCGGAGGCGAAACCTCCGTGGTATGTCTTAAACTAATGGGCCATGTGCTCATATGGCTCGGGGAGTCATGGTTCAGTTGTGCGGTGGCAGACTGAACCTGGTGTGCCGGGGGCTCACGGGATCTGGGTTAGGGTGTTATTGTCTCTATAAGAGAACATTGCCCCGTGGGGGGAGTACAGGGGGTCTGGCATTGCTGGGGGATGAACCTTCCCTGGGCTATAAAGCATCGGACTATACGAGGCTGGTGTGTGTCCATCTCTGATGGGATAGTAAGGGAGGAGCGTGGCCGAGTTGCTGCTCATCCCCGAAATTGCACTAGCTGAGAGTATGGTCAGTGGATGTTGCTGTGGGTTGACGACCACGGTGGGGGTTAGGGCGAGTTAAACATTACCGCTGGGGAGCGTGGCTCTCTCCACGCGAGGGTGTGCGATTAGGCGTTTTGTTGGGTTGCTGAGAGTGACCGTGGGTACATGCTGTGTACGTGCGATGTCTGTGCTGGTCCTCAAGGGAGGACTGCTGGTGGGTAAGAGCAGAAAATTTTGTTGTTGTTGTTGTCACGTGTAAATAATATTGTTGTTAAAATGTAAATACTGGGGCATCCATTGCGTTATTTTGGGTATTTATGGGGAGTTTTTTTTTAAGCGGGCTGGATTTACATCATCTCCACTACCCTGAGGCCGGGTGGCTGTCGTGTACGACATGCGGATGTGCGTTGTTGTGCTGTGCCTCAGGGGATTGGATTCTCCTTCTCGTCACAGATTCTTCAGCTCCCGTCGCACTGGGTGTTACCTGGTGTGCTAGCTGGATGAGGACTTGAAGGAGCAATTGAGCGCCGTTCGTCGTTCTGCTCTACCACTTGCTCTTTGACGTTGGACTTGAGCCGAGCGGATGGAACTGCAACATGGACACGCACTAAAACATCACATTTCTGGGTTGTGCGCGTTGGCCGTTCTTGCGTGTCAGTTGCCGTTTTTGTTCATTGTGCCATTCTTATTCTTGTTGATGTTGCGCGGAGGACAGGCCGGTGTTCTGTTCCAGTTCCTGATACCTCCCCTTTCGTTGCTTGTGTTGTTGTTGTTATAATCTCCGTTGTGTCTGGGGGACTCCTGATTGTGATGCCTTCGCCCGCATTATTTTGTTCTGTTTCAGCCGAGGACGGCTGGGATTTTCTCTACGGGGGAGGGTAGTGTAATGCGGGCGTAAATGGGCGGGGCGGATATGACGATCCGAGAGGGAGGAGTCAGGGTGACGTGGGGGAGAAGTTATAGCGGGGAGACAGGAAGCTATCTGGGTCAGTCGGGGGAGTGAAGGGTGGTGAACACGTTGGGTGGTCGCCGTGCCTCAGCCTGGTGGCTGAGGGGCTCATGACGGCGCCAGCCAGCGGGGTGGAAGAGAGAGTGGAGGATTGAGGTAGGAAGTGGCGAGATAGCCACAGAGGCCACGAAGGGCTGAGGTAGGAAATGGCGAGATAGCCACAGAGGCCACGAAGGGCTGAGGTAGGAAATGGCGAGATAGCCATAGAGGCCACGAAGGGCTGACATTGGGAGGTGGCGAGATCGCCACGCACGGAGGAACAGGGAGCAGAGATGGAGCTGCTGGGGGAGCAGCCAGAGGGCTGTACCAAGAGCCTGCAGCGGAGCTGCAGGAGCGTGGAAGGCTACGGGAGCGAAGGCAGATGTGGGGCTGCCAGGGAGAGAGTCTCAGGAGGAGTGCCGTGTGGGAAGGAGAACGCGAACCCCAAATAAAGGACACGGAGTCAGCAAGAAGTGTCTGAGTCCTTTTATTACAGAAGCATCAATACCTCTAGAATGGAAACATTCCTATGTTCGTCCACTTCACAAATGGTGCCCTAAAGATGATCCAAATAACCACCGACCTATCTCAATTTTGTCCCCGTTGATGAAATTTTTTGAAAAATTATTGAACTACCAAATTAGCAGTTTCCTGTCAGACAACAATCTATTACATCGAAAACAATCTGGGTTCCGAAAAAAATACAGCACCACATCTGCTGCTTTTGACTCTGTTTCACATTTACGGTAGCCTTGATAAGCAGTACTGCACCAGTCTTTTTATTGACTTATCCAAAGCCTTTGATACAGTCGACCACAACACCCTGTTTAGTAAACTATGTTGCCTCCGGTTCTCCAAACACGCAGTAGAATGGTTAAAATATTATCTCTATTTTCGCACCCAAACTGTATTCACAGATGGTTGGAGGTCAAACAGTGTTAAGATAACAAAAGGGTTTCCACAGGGTTCAATCCTCGGCTCCCTCTTGTTCTCTCTTTATGTCAATGAATTGGGCATTGACCTGGATCATTCCAGGGTAAATAGTTTTGCAGATGACACGATACTGATTACTGCTGGCCGCTCTCCGGATGACGTGATCGCTAAGCTCCAGGGTGATTTCAACAAACTACAACATCAGCTAGTTGCTCTTAAACTAGTCCTGAATACCTCCAAAACCAAGGTGCTATGCTTCTCACCAGGACTAAAGCGGGAAGTTATTTTTCCCCAATTACATTCCTTAAATAATTATCGAATAGAGCAAGTCAAGATCTATAAGTATCTTGGGGTCATTCTTGATTCAAAACTGAATTTTGAAGATCACATTGATTATATTGGTAATTGATAAAAGCTACCATACTGCCTCTACTTGATTACTGTGACATCGTGTATAAATCAGCCCCAAGTACTGTACTGAAGAAGCTTGAGATTTGCATTGAACTGCCCATATAGGACTCACCACTGTGATCTTTACATTGAGTCAAACTTAACATCTCTCAATGTTCGACAGCTTGTGCATCAGATCTTATTTATTCATGATGTACTTACAAAAAAATCCGCAGACTACCTGCTGGATCTCCTCTCTGTTTCAAAGAACAAATTTGACCTAAGGTCTTCGCTCATTTACCAGCTTCACATTCCCTATTGCCATACAAATACTGAAGGGCCTTTGCTATTGATGCCCCCAGGGTCTGGAATGCTATTGCCAATAAACTGCAACTTGAATCACTACCTATGAGATCTTCACTCAAAACTGCTCTAGAGGAGTTGTACACCCCTAGCTGCCACTGCTATTCAGTGGCCTAAAATGCAATGTTTCGCTCCGGATGATTGCTGCAAAGTATGATCTGTGTTTTGATTTAGTGTTCTGATCTTAAAGGTGCATTGAAAGATGTTGATACTCCAACTGATGCTCGTGCTGTTGTGGAGTGACTCATGCAGCCAGCGATGGCTGCAGAGTTTGGTAGTACATGTTGTTTACGTTGTTTATTGTGGAAATTCGGTCACAGTTCCTATGATCACTGTTACATTGCTTTTATGGCTTTATTTTGGTGATTTTCGAAAAGTTTTTTGGTTTGGCCATGTTTGTTTGTTGTAGTAGAGAGTTAGACTGATGGCCTTAATCTAAGTTGTCTTGTGGTTGTTGTCGTTTGACTTGCATCCCACAGGGATTTTTGCACACATCGTTGGTGTACGGTGCTTTTTCTGCAATACGTTGCTGTCTTTTCTTGGATTTTCTGTTTGCACATAGTCACTTTAAGATGTTTTCTTGTTCATGTTTTTGTTTTTTGTTTGTTGCGGTTGCGCCCGATTCAAGAGCCGAATGGCTCACAGGGCTATACCTAATACATGAACTTGAATGAACTTGAACTTGAACTAGACGCCCATTGCAGTGCGAAGATATTTTGGAGCACAACAGATCGGTTTGTAGCTCTTCACTGTCACAATGTGAAGAGAATTATTTAAGAAAACACTCACATTTCCATGTTTGTTTTTATTTTCTCACACAGATTTTTTTGAACTCAAAATCTGAAGGATTTCTTGACTACGTGAGGGTGTCTGCAGTTATCCCAGATGTAAAGGTATGAGTCTATTTTTTTACTTATAATTTATCCTGATTAAACGAATGCACTTCTCCCATGAGGTGGTGACACAGCCGAGCGGTAGCATTGTTTGCTGCTTGATAATTATAATTGAAATTTATAACGCGCATTCCATTCTAGAATTCCAATGTCCAATGTATGATGAGCAGGAAACAAAAAATAGAACCAGGGCCGCTTTAAAGAGATTGGTTTTCAAAGCAGACTTCAATATATCTACCGACTCTGATTGCCTGATTTCAAGTGGCAAGGCGTTCCATAGTTTGGGTGCCACGCAAACAAAAACCTGATCATCAAAAGAGTACAACCTAGAATTGGGACTGCTGAGTAGTTGTAGATCAGAAGATGTTAAGGACCTTGATGGAATATATAAATGTATTAGTTCCTGCAAGCAATGTGGGGTTAGTCCTTTTAAAGCCTTAAAGGTTAATAGCATGATCTTAAAATCTATGCGGAATTTGACTGGTAGCCAATGAAAAGTTCAGAGCACTGGTGTAATGTGCTTACAGAATGGTGTACATGTAAGCACGAGTAGCTGCTACAGTGCTTGTTGCAGACGTTTCCGTTTAGAGCCTCTAGCCACTTGAGTTGATACTTCGGGCGTATTAACCAAAGTCACGCACCGTCTGAATCACAGTGGACTTTAAACATGTGATATTATAAAAATAGAGTAGGCTGTGTGTACCGGTGTTACAGTTCTACTTTTGAAAATTACAGGCAAATTGCTTAGCCATTCCGATGATGTCACATAGGTCATCGGAACAGAACTGAAATAAAAACTAAAATAAAATAACTTTATTAGTACCGAGGCTCCCACAAGGCCATGCGGGGGGGGGGGGGGGTGGCACAGCTATCACAGAGTGAGATCGTGTTACTACAATTCTCTGCGGTGACTACAGTGTATTTTAAAACAACAGCGCAATGCCTCTCAATGAAATTAATTGGAATAACCAATAACAGCCTAATGTCCACTTCCAAGTATCACCTTATGCCGCACAGGCCACGGCTTTTATCAGTGTAGTCCCCGAGGCTAAAGAAATAAATTATAGTTGGGCATTGGAATGATTGAGATCTGAGATGCTGGGGTATATGCGAATCCTTATTCCTCGTGTTATTTCATGTCGGCAAGCCGACCCCCTGACGGGGCACTGCTGAGTACTGCATTTTCACAGTCTCCTTTTTCACGGCAGGAAAAGTCGACACTGAGTTTTTTGGTGGAGAACAGAGGCCGGGTCAACTATGGGTTGAACATTGACACCCAAAGGAAAGGTGGGTCGGCATTTTACATGCAACGTTGGAAAAAGTCTTTCATCTGCCCTCCCATCGTTCACACCCCCTCTTGTGCCCTGCTAAAGGATTTCAGATGCAATTTGTTTGAAGGTCTGAGCCGATGATAGCGGTAGGTGTTCAACAAGGGTCTTGTAACTTTTGAATGTTACCATAATGATTTATTCCAACCATGAACAACTGCACTGTTGCACAGTATGATGCCATGAGAGTTTCATTATATCAACCATCGTCAATCCACTGCTCGATGAAAGCCTCCACAAGGCACCTTCTCTGATCCTGAGACTTAGCAATCCATCTAGCACCTGCACACGACCTGAATTGACATCATTGCTCCATTATTTTTCAAGAAGATCCTCGATCATCCCTCTCATTGACTTGTTATGCCCCAGCCCACTTACTTTGTCTTAATAGTTTTATGGTGTAATTACACTGCACGTATTTTTTTTCTGTGTCACAAAATACACTTTATTTTCTTAATATGTAGACTTGTAATACAAAATGTCAATACATGTGATATGCCAAGTAGGTAGAAATTTAGAACCAATTCAGTCACATTAGACAATGAAAAGTGAAAATAAGTTCAAGAAAATGAAAAGTTAGTCGCGATAATGATATCAATAATATATGTAACGTTAATCATGGAATGTTATATAATCATTAATCACAACCTATGTGTATCAACTAATTATTTGACAGTCCAAAACAAAGAACAGTATTATTTGTTACACTATAATTTGTTACCAATGATATCCCAGTTGTGTCACATGGTAAACATATGTATTCTAGATCTCCCTGTTGGCAATGCGGCATTTTATGTGGCAAAGTACTATTTCAGAGGGTGTGACTGACAGGACAGGACTGCTGCTGATGTCTCCTCACTGCATCTCTGAAACAGCAAGAACACAGTAGTCCATTCATGCCATTTTATATTTGGACCTTTATTTTATTGCTCCTCTCTGGGTCCACCTTTATCAATTTATTTAGTTTCGTTCTTGGCACGTAGTTGTCTCACAGCCACGATTATGATGTCGACATTATATTTGGGTAATCATATGGCCAAATGTTTGTCGTGTTACCCTCCGCCACCCAAAATAGCCGAACAAATTAATTGTGTGAATTATGTCATTTATTCTTGTCTCAGCTCTCTGTTAATTTAAAGAAAATTCTCACAAACAATTTTGATCAATTAAGGACCTTATGTTTCAGTTCTAATCCTGCGGAATGGAGATAGGATAAAGCTACACACCTCTGATTCGAACGGTTGTTTACGTATGGTGCGAAAGAAATTCAACATACGTACATATTACCATGTTTGAACATAGACGTTTGATTTAAAGTTAACTTCATCAACTGGCAGATCGGGATTAAAATTAGGAAATAAAGAGGTGAGTGACAGCAGGTTGAAGTGCTTTTGCAAAATGTAATTTAAAAAATAAAAATCGATTTATCAGTATGCCAAAAAAAAATCAAATTTTTAATCCGGGCATGTTTGCCTGCGATGATATGTGGATCGGAAACATGGACACTTAGAAAAGAAGTGGAATAAAAAACATGGGGTGGTGCACGTTTGTATTTACGCAGAGAGGCAGGAAGAAAAGTGGATCAGAAAGCAAGCTCAAAATAGACATCATGTTGAATATTAATAAATGTAAGTGGGATTGGGAGTGACACATCGCTAGAAGGGATGACGGCTGATTGGACAAGACTGGTGATAGAATAGCAGCCAAAGGAGGGAACACACTCAATAGGATGTCAACCACGGACATGGGATGACGATATCACCTCATGATCCGGGGGAAGATGGATTATGGAATTGTAAGACCATTGAGGGGGATAAACCACGATGTGAGGAAGAGCTTATTCAGGAGCGGATTTATCATTGCTGTTGATGATGATCATCAACAAAATATAGTTTATGGAGTTTAGAGTGGTAGTCTAAGTGGTAAAAGATGATGAATGTAACCAAATTAAAATACGCTAAGCAACTGTTGCTTAATCCAAAAATGAATGCAAATTTTAGTTTTACGCAGACAATATTACTGCTGATTTAAATTTGCCTTGAATGGCTTATTATGTCGAGTGTGATATGCAACGGTCTCAGCTTAACAAATTAGTGTGCAGAGCATTTCGTTGCGATGGAAACAGCCTTGTAAGATAAAGAGGGATTAAAATAATTACATGGTGCATCTCATTTGAGCGGGTTGGTGATACATTGTGACCTCTGTGCCATGGATACACGTTAAATACATTGCATTTTCTTTCTCTCTCTCTGAGGGACAAAAACGCTGGTTTCTTGGCTGTTTTGTTCCATTCAATTGCAGGTTAATTTGTCTCACATATTAACCTTTGCGTGCAAATGTGTGTGCGGCAAGTACATGAGCAGCCTTGTGACCGCTGCTTATTTAAACATACACATCGGTGTGAGCTGCCGCTATGTTTGAGTGTATTCCCCTTCGGTGAGATCGTCGTATATCCAGCGCAAATACAAGGCAATGCCACCCGGTGGCATCGTGTTCAAGGATACCAAATGTGCACCTCTTAGATGCTGAGCTTTTCTAGTAGTAAAACAAAGGTAAAGGGGTAGCTCTGCAATTGCTCGCTCATGCCAGTACTGCTGGAATGGCTTCCATTGTGAGGGACCGCTCTCTTGAGGGTTCCTCTACAGTGCACGTGGCCTACTCTTTCACATTGGCCAGACGTCTTGGGAGAAGTGGGAGAATACCCACGTTTTACCCCCACCACATGCAACACTCCCGATTGACTGCGGTGTGCTCATCTCAACTGCTGGGTGGACATAGGTGTTAGGGGAGGGGGTTAAGAAACTTTCACCGTTTCAACTGCCATCCCGGGAGATCAAATGACACTGGAAACCTATGAAATGCAAGTCCAGTGTGCTAACCTGTACACCGTGACAGCATGTGTGCATTGTAGAATATCTTTGCCTGTCCAGATCATCCCTGCAAAATGAGACGATCCTATTCATATTCTTTCGGTCTTTCGGTAAAGTTACGCAGATAGGTTAAAAGAACATAACAAAAAATAACACAAAACCACGACGTTTCGATCGCAAAACAAGCGTTCGTCATCAGGAAAAGACTATCCTAGTTTCTTAAACAACATCAACTTTAACTAGTTCTATAGAGAGTGGAGATAACATAGTTGGCTTACTGCACTGCCACCCTGGTGACACGGGTTTGATTCCTGACGACGTACAACACCAGTGGAACATTTATAAAAAGTATGAACCTGAGCTTGGTTTTTGGTTGACTTCCAACAAATATAGGTATGCGCTACTGTGATTCAGCGTTGCTAACATCAGTACTCGCCATACAAAAGTGACTGTACATGCAAGGTGTCGGTGACCTCACCCACCTCCTTATGCAGTAGCCCTGCCTTAATAGGTGCTCGCTAAATGCACTCGCAATGTTAGTCTATTATAACAAAGGGAGACTTTGTCTTTGTATTCTTATGTGAAAATATGTATTGCTGGAAAGGTTTGCAAACTCGTGTATATGACCTAACATTGTATCGATGTTTGCTTCAGGATTGACTGGAAACTTAACACTGGATGAAAAGCCTTTGGAAGAGTTTCAAATATACCCGATGGAGATGAAACAAGATTTCATCAACAGGTTTTTTTATTTTGTTATATCTCCAATGTTGTCATCATTAGTCACGTTCTGAGGAGGGTTCTTTGTAAGACAGGAGAAGCCCATGAATTATACGAAACTGAACGAGAGTACTTACAGGATCACTTATGTGGGCCTCTCTTACACAACACTAGGTGGTCTTCTTTCAGTCTCGGGAGAGAGAAAATTATTCAAAACGGAGGAAACCAGCCAATATTGGCACCAATAATCTGCCAAACTCTGTGGTTCTGTATTGGGGATGTTTGGCCAACCCTATTAGGGAGTGTTTATATAAATGGGAGGAAGCCAGAGAACCCGGAGAAAAAAGGCGCGTGTGAGCGGCGTAGCACTCCCCGTAGAGATAGAAATGTAGTGATCCACTTGCTGTACTGCCATGGTACCCTGGCAAGCCAGGAGAAGGCAAGCTCGAAGACCACGAGGAGGGAGTTAAACGAATTTGTAATCCACCAACCCTCACTGCCTCCACATTGTTGGGTCCAAGCACGTACCACCAGTGCTTTGCCGTATATCAATCGTTCGATATTGTAAAATTGAAGTACTTGGAGCTAAATAAGGTCAACTAAAGTGTAAATTTTCTTTTATTTGATTTTGGAAAAATCTCGCTATTAAGTTAAGACAATTAAGTTATCTCCACTTGAGAACCTGGTTTAATTTTGGTTGACTGCTCACTATCAAACTGCGGATCTCAGCAGTGTTATGTGTTCTGACATGCATCAAATCGCAAACATAAACCCAGCCAACCACGTGTTTAGAACGTTATCCACGGCGATTTGTGGAGCGGAAGTTCGTGGATCCCATTATCCACAGGGTCATTCTCAGAGTTTTCACAAATCCTTTTTGTCCTGCAGATAATATGACTCAGAGGCAGGGCTTAATTTATCACTCGATATTCTCCAGAATGCTGCTACGCTTGGCTTTGGAGTAGGGCTTATTGGCATTGGCACTACCGCTATAGTACAAGGCACGCCTATCCATTAAAATCCTACATTATTGTACAATATAATCCTATAATCACGTTCATAGTTATATCGGAATATCCGGTACAATGATGTCGTTATCATGAGGATAATATGAGGTGAGATGGATGTGGCGTGCCAAAGTAACTCGTGGAACGGCGTTCTAGACTGTTGTGGCTGCTAATGGGTACCACAGCTGCAGATAACGAGTACTCCAGTAGCACCATCGAATCTGGATTAGGAAGAAAAAAACAAACATGAATTACTTATACATAATAGATCAAACTTCACTCTCTAAATCATGGCACTATAATTGTTAACTTAACAGTGGCTGCATTTTGGATTGTTCTGGCTGAAATTGAGCGCTGGTCGTGCATGAACATCACTGTATTTATAAGCATGTCCTTTGATGTGTCCCTTTTTAGCTTTATTGGCCATTTTCTTCCTTTGTAAATGTTTAATCAGTTAGCCAGATAATGATCATTTGTTTGAAGCCAACTGAGTCTCGATATTTGAACACCAAAGTGATGTGTGTGTGCTGATATTTTTTTTATTTTCCTTGTTTCATTTCAAATTGTGTGTACCTGATTTCCTGGTTTGTAGTCTGGAGAAGGCAAAGTGGAGCACAGTCCCCTTGCAACCCTGGCTCCCAGCTTTCTTCCGCGGGACCCTGCAGATATCTGGCACTCCACAAGACACGTTCGTACGGCTCGACGTAAGTTTATTCATCTCGCACGGCAAGAAGCGGGAGCGTAAACGTATAACGCTTTAGCCTCACTGGTGAGGCACACGCGCTTCAGAATGTAAGCAACATAATGTCACCAAGTTGTTTCGCTAATGGGCAGCGAGTTGGCCAGAGCTTGAGAGCCCATGCTGATCGTGGGGAAGTTTTTTTTCTAAGTTTATGCTAAAGTATATTAGAATGAATGAATAACAACTAAAACCAAATTAGTGGTTGTCATGGATCGGCTAGCCCCCACCGTCGGAAAGTGGACGTTTCCACCACTGGCTTCAGGGCTGTAAACGGGAGATTGAGCAGGAATTCACTTCGACTTTATCATGACAATGGTGATTCCTAATTTTCAAGAATGCTCACCACTGGGACATTTGACCAACTCTATGAGTGAGCATTTTACATATCGGAGGTAACGTAGGAACTTGGATATTCATTGACACTTTCCTGGACAATAAATGTTAAATTTTACGTGCTAATAACCTGAAAAACCTTGCCCAAAAGACTTTGGAAAAAATTGTGCTCCCATCCGCCTCTAAAAAATAATTGCGAGACCCCAGCACCTAATCCAATTGTGGGATTTTTTTACTTCAAAATGAAAGTACTGGGCTGTGTTAATAAAAGACGTCATTATTCTACCTCGCACAGCAGCAATTACATTCTCAGCTTCTTAAAAGGAACACCTTGTGCAAGGCACATAAAAGACAACATATCCACATGGCATAAGGAATGGCATCTGTGTGGCTGAACAGACAAGATTAGAGCAGATAGATGGTTTGAAAAATAATGAAAAGAATAGATAACAGGGAATATTTCCACTGAATTCTACACATCCTCAGGGGACATTGGGCCTGGATAGAGCTCAAGATAAAGAGTGCTCTCTGCACGTGTGTACGAGAACACACAACTGCGGTTATGATAAAGTGCGTAAGATGTGTGTCGCATTCAATGACTATTTCAATTCATGCAATGTGTATGCAGTACTGAGATTTGTATATACAGTCGGATTTATTTTATTTATATAAAAAATGAATTCGATTTTTTTTCTTCTGTATTCAGTTTTTTTAAATAATTGTTCAATAGTTTACACAGTGCATACATTTTAATGTATAAAATTAAATAGACATCCGGGGATATCTTTCGAAGCATAATTTAGCATTTTGTCACGATTATATACGAACTAAATGGCAGCCCATTCTCTTGATGGGGTGAATCTCACCGATTCTTCCCACCATGACCACATAGACCCTACTCAACCCCCAAATGGGCCCACCCCTCTTCCTCTTGGTCACACAACTCACCATGCACCTGGACATCACCGTACACTCACCTTACAGTCACAAGTCATCTGTAACTCACCACCAACCAGACACTCGCACTCATTGCTTATCAGGCACTTGCCACTCGCCACTCGCCTGCAAATCACCTGACACCACTCACCAGACACTCACCATTCACCTGACCCTCATCGGATGCTCACTAGACACTCACCTTAAACTTCACACTTACTGGACCTGACCTTCACCGTACATGGGACACCACTTTCCTATGACTGAAAAATGTAATGCCAGGTATAGTTGATGTGCGGTGTCACTCTACCCTGTGCATTGAAGTACTTTGTGCAGCAGGTGGCACACTGCTCAATGCAATCAGCATTCTGTAACTTAAATTATACATAGGTCATAATCATTAGTATTGGTGTTTGCTGTCTCGCAGCCAGAATGGTCCCTCACTGGACTTTGAAAAACGAATAATACTCAAGTAAATGCTGTGCCTAGCTAATAGACAAATAGATGAATCTCCCTTGTTAATATCCTTTTGCATTCATTTTGTAAGTCAGAGGCATCCTTTGGGAACTCAGTCAGGAGTCACATACGTGTAAGTTCCAGAATACTTTGGGTACCATTTCAATAGGCCTCGAATAACATGCCACTTTATATGCTGCCCCCTAGTTTTTCATAAAGAGTGGGGTGCCATTAGTGAGTCATGAAATTGCCTACGAATTATTTTTGCCCTGAGAGCCTGGGTGTGGTTGCCACCTTTACAACAAATTGAACAGTCCGCCTACGTCGATCAAGACCATGCGTTGCTACTGTAATAGAGTTTAGCACGATACCAACCAAAAGCTTGGTAAAAATAAATTCCTGCCACCCAAACACAGATGGCAAATTTCCAGATTGACCAGGTCAAACCCGTACAGGTGGCAACCCCAATCCAGACTCGTCAGATTAATTGGGCAACCAGTCCTTAGTTCAGCTGGGACTGGATTCAAGACTGTTCTGGAAATTATTATGTGCCATGATTATTACGTGCCATATTTTATTGTCGTTATATTGCAGCGGTGTTTATAGGAATATTGGGTACAACTATGTATGATTGTTATGGATAGGGGTACCTTGCATTCTAGTAGTAGTATCTTGCGCCGATAACACTTCTTTTAAGCAAGCCAAACAGCGTTGCGGTGAATGGAGAGTGAGAAATTAAGCCCTGTAAACTGCGATATATATAATTCATGGTGCGGAATGAAATTGACTTTGCTTGTGAACCTGGTTGGCTGTATAGCAGTGCTCTGACATGAACGTTGAACTCTCTGAGCTAAACAAAATGCCCTGAACCACAGGGGCATTTAATTACAATACAGTTCAGTTTAGATGACACTTCCTATAACACTATCTGAAGATAAATGATTAATGTTAACAGAAAGAGGAAACGACCATCCCAGATGTTAGATGATGTGGAGAAGATGATGCGGCAAGCTCCTAGTATGTACCGAATGAGTGGGTGGGAGAGGAGGAAATGCTATTTTGAATCGTAAGGAATGGTCGTGATTAATGTCACCACTTCTCATTACAGCAAAAGCTCTGTTATCCGGCAATCCATGGGGAATGGAGGGTGTCGGTTAATCAAATATGCCGGTATCTGAGAGTTATACTTTTGGTTCACCAAATGTTCCAAGTACATCAAACTTTCAAGAAAGAGACTAAGCCTGCATTTTTAACTATGATATGAGAAATAACGTACTGGTTTTTTTTACAGAGGTACTCGCCAGTCAGTTGTAGAGCATTCTAAGTTGATTGTAGAGAACCAGTGGGGCCGTTTAGATTACGGTATACGGTAGTACTGTATGTACAGGCTTCCGCTAGCACCACTACTCGGCAACGTCTTGAAACTCCCATAAACAACGGGTCTATGAGAAGCGCATGGCAATATGCAGGATGGCTGTCAAGAAGTTCCCGGATTCGTGAACGAAGATTTGTATTCCCGTCTTTGACAGATGCTGGTCAATAGAGCATTCTGGATGGTAAAGTGCCGGATAACAGAGCTTTTGCTGTATGTACATGTGAACATTAATTTAAAAAATGTATATTCTATGGTTCTTTCGGTAAAGTAACGTAGATAGAAAAAATGAAAACAATTAAATAATAAAAATGAAAATGAAAATAAAGTGAGTAAAAGATAATAAAAAGTATCACGACGTTTTGATCGCAACACGAGCAATCGTCATCAGGAGAAATAAGTATAACCCGTAAAAACAAAGTTTTTCACTATAAATCCTTTATATGCGTGGCGGCTAGAGTCCTCTCGTCCTCTGTCTTGAGATGGCTGCCACCTATGGGTCAGATGATTGTCTGCCAGTATTAAGCAATTGGTAATTAAATATTTAATTTGTTTTCCCTAAACAGTGTAAAATTTTGGGAAAATTTTTTCACGAACATTAATTGTCTCGCACACGAGTCTGTGTGCAAAATGTCAGCTCGATTGGATCACGGGAAGTGGGTTAAAAAACGACCTAAAGATTTGCACGGTCAGTAAGCAAGCAAGCAAGCACGCAAGCAAGCAAGTGAACTTAATATAAAGGATTTAAAAAAGGGGGAAAGCTGCTGAGGCAGGCTGTTGATAAAGGTTTAGAGATGGGCGGGGCAGCTAATGTTAATGTAGGAGAGGTCTCCGACACCGGCAGTAGGTCCACACCAATCAAAGCATTGCACCTCACTCCACACACCCACACTGCTGACGGTGGTGGTGGACAAGAAAACACAAATCAAGTCATGACCCAAAGTGGTTGATGACATCTTTCCAATGGTTGCGGAGTTTAAAACCGTCTTCTCAGTTGAAATTGTGTATGTGTCCGTATACATGGATGGCTTCGTGAACTAATCTTTGTTGATAGCCAGTCGGCTTGCAAAGTACCATCGTCTTAGAGAAATCAATTTCACGTGAGCCTGCCGCATTAAAGTAATGATTAGCCACGGCAGAAGTATTGGTCCTGCCGTGTTTCAGATCTGCCTTATGTTCACAAACACGGTCGGAGACATGTCGCTTGGTTTCCCCAATGTAACTGCTGCCGCAGATACAGCTTAGTTTGTAGACGCCGGGATATTGCATGTCAGGAATCTTGTCCTTCACAGATGGGATCAGGTCACGAATTTTATGCACTGTGTTAAATCGGACCTGGATCTTGTGTTTGTTAAAGATTTTGGAAATATTTTGGTTATCCCTGCTATGTAAGGTAGGGTGATGGTTTTCATTGGATTTTCAGATGGCTCCTTCCTCGCGGTTGGGGTGATGGCTTTGCGGATTGTGTAGTCAGAATATCCATTCGCCTTGAGAGCCTGGTGTACGTGTTTGAGTTCACTGGTCAGGTGCTCATGGTCGGAGATACATTGAGCTCTGGTGTAGCGTTTTGATGCGGGAATTCTTCCGGGATGGATAGTGGTGGCAATCAGGTTTTAGGTAGGCGTCAGTATGGGTTACTTTCCTGTAGACAGAGTGGCTCATTGAGCCATCTGGTCTCCTTTTGATGAAGACATCCAAGAAGGGTAGCATGCCATCCTTTTTTACCTCCATGGTGAATTTGATTGCTGCAGAGAATATAAGCCGGGTCCCCCAGAGGGGCCGGCGTTTTTGTTCATCCTGAAGAAACCTTCGTCTACATTATCTGAGTCTCCAACACGTGGACCTGGATCCTAGCTGTGGTCTTG